CAGAGGAGACACTTGAAACCAAGGCTCTACAGTACCTGGGAGCTGATAAGATGTGGAAGGTGATGAAAGAGAGAAATCAAAGACCATTCGAAGGCTTTGGGCAGACCGATTATTCCACTGAATAAGTGGTGATGTTATAAAGAGAAATCAGTTTGAGAACAAAGATTATGAACTCAGTCTTAGAACTGCTGAATCTGAGATATGAGCTGAGCTAAGACTAGGTGTTCTGAAGGAAGCTCAAAATTCAAGTCTGAAACACAGCTCTTGAGCCTGGTCTTAAGATACAGATGGAGCCACAACTTGGTGGTTAACAGCTGATTGGAAAGAAGACTTGGCCAAGTCCTGCATCTGTGAGAAACAGCTACTGCCAACAAACAGTAACAAGAAAAGCCATGGAAGACAAAAAAGTGACCAAGAGAGTCCCAGCTCCTCCTGGCAGCTCTATGGTAAGCTTGGGAAAGTAATTTAACTTCTGAAAAAAGATAATCATAAGAGACATATACTATAAGGTAGGTCGTTGACAAGATTAAGAGAGATAAAGTAACAAAATAAATAAATCACATTTAGCAACCTAAAAACTAGAGAAGAAAATCAAGAACAAATAGTGTCATGGAAAGCAAAGGCTTGTTTTTGAAGGCAGAATCAGTGAACAGAAGTGGTCCAAAAAATACTTTGGCAAATGCCAAGAGTCTGAAATGAAGAAAGTCCATAAGACAAATTATATTAACCCATCCACTACAATAATTGTGTTATGCATTTGTTTACTGTCAGTTTCAACCATGAGGAAAAGAACTTCGTTTTGTTTTCTGAGATTATTTCCAAAAGCTGACCATCACAGATGCCTAATAAATATGAACAAAAAACCTGACCTCCATCTTTATGAACAGTAGGTACACTTAGAATTCAGCAGAATTCTCTAGAAAAGCACCTGAAAGGCAATTTTCATTCTCCATAGCACCTTGATCTTAAGAAAGAAGTTGAATTATTTTCATAAACACTCCTGGTGCGGTTCCGTAACAGCCACAGATGAGTAAATTTAGAGTCACATTTACAAAAGCATACTTACTAATATTTATTAAATACCTACTAAGTGCATTAGAAAATATAAATTAGAAATAAGAGGTTTGGGGGTATTTCGTGGGAGGGAAAACAGTGATTTCCCAGCATCAGAAAATTTTAAGACTACATAAGTGAATCTACCTATTCCAGAATCTACTTCTCAAGTTCCCAAATGCAGTTTGAAATTTTCTTTATATATGACACTTCTTTCAATACACATGGATTCATATGTCTTCTTTCAACATTTTCTTCTGGACCATTATTGCTCCTAAATATTTTAAAGGTCCTTGTCTATCATTGAGGAGGTTCACCTGTGATTTGAGAGATGCCCAATTTACTTAGGACTAAATAAACAAAAAACTAGTTCAACCTTGATAACCAATGGGCTATAAAAAAAAAAAAATGGATACTGAGATAACCACAGGAATTGAATCTTAGAATTGGAAAGAGCACTAAAGGTCACCTGGCCCAGTGAATCACAAACGTCAGGCTTCAATAAACTTTAAACTGGCCAGTGATAAAATGAGGGCAATGTAGAAAGTTTTCCTAAAACTAAATCTATGCCATTTAAGAACTATTCTTTACTCTGAGATTATGTCCTCCTTTAAATTGGGAAGGGGCACTAAAATGTTCTTTCTTTTACAAAATATGACCGTTGATAATTAGTTTATTATCAATAATTTCTTTACTTGGCAAAACAAAAAACTTAGCAATTCTATGTTGGACTTCAATTTTAAAAGTCAGTAAAACTCAAAAATCTGAGAACTTCTGTTATAACCCAAACAATCTTCTGTTTAAATCCCTGAGAACACGGTCAACAAGATGTTTTTCAGCCCATGCTTGAACACCTCTGAAGTTCAAAAGTCTCCAGTGAAGTGGATTCAACCGAAAAAAAAAAAAATATGGTTGTATCTGAAGTATATCTGCTTAGTTTTGAGAAGAAAAAGCTAAAAAGCAAAATCTGTAGAAAGTCAACTTGTGAAAGAGAAACCAGGAGGAAAACAAAGGCCAAGAAAACGGTTCAGTGAGGGGCAGTCAAAGGATGAACTCTGTCCTATACCTCTTTGTCTTCCCTTAACCTAACAGTTATGAAAAGCCTTTTAAAAATAATTCCAAAAGCCGGAATATATAAAAATTTCCTGAGGTCAGAGCTTATCAGTTTACATTTCCTTTTGTACATCTCAGTTATGGCTTGAAACTCCTTTACTAATTACATCGAATTTTTAGCTGCATACCTTTCAGATCAAAAAGCACATGTCCACGGCCTTAACATCACCCAGACTTCAAAATGCAACACACTTAAATACCACATATACTCAAGGAGGCAAAAAAACAGTAAGCAGAGATACTAAAGCCCAATGACAATCTATACGGTAATTAAAAAAGATGAGGAGTGGAAAGGTGAGAAGAGATCAAAACCTAAGATGAACAAGCCCACACTGAAGGAACAAGGGAACCTGAGGCACAGTCGCCTCCATTCCTCCAAGAAGGGAACAGGTGAGATTTGAAATCAATGTAAAACTGACTGCTAGAAGAGAAGTATAAGCAAAAGTATCACACACAGTGCCAGACAGAGAGACAGGCGTTCAAATATCTGCAGAACAAACAAATTAATAAACAGACACTCACAAAAGAGGATCTGAGTCCCAGTTTCCTAACACACCATCCAAGGAACTTTAAGTCCATGTCAAACATCTTGCTTCGCCTTTAAGTTCAGGCTACAAATCTACCCTTATGAAAAACTGAGCCCTCCCAATAATTTCCACTGGCCCCTGTCCTACTCTAGCTCCAGCCCAGGGAAACCCGAAGAAGCTACTTCCCAAAGACACTGCCTGCATTTCTCAAGTTCAGCACCCATGATTCAGAGTAGGAGGAAAAAAACAAGTTAGTGGGAGTGGAAGCAGAAAGGTAAATAACACTCTTGAGTAGCTCTGGAATGAGAATTAATCCCAGACCGACCAAGTGAAAATAAAACCTATTTGTATTTATTATTAAATGAACAATGCAAAAGTCTCACCAACTTTGGCCACCTGTCGTAAAAAGAACTTTTAACGATTCTTTCATCATTGCTGGCATTCCAGGGCTTTCCATTACCTCTCCACTTACCGTTTGTTCCAGCGCTACTGATGGAGTCTCAACACCAAAGAACTGTGCTAGACCCCAAAACTCTATTGTTGATCTTTCCTAGATTCCATTTACCCACCTCTGCACGCACACAAATATTTCATCTTTTGCTCTGTTTTTCAATTACAATTTACATTCAATATTGTTTTTTGTATTATTTTCAGGTGTACACCATAGTGGTTAGACAGTCATACACGTGACAAAGTGCTCACTCAGCATTTTAAACTATTTCTATGTAAATCATTGTCTATGTATCTACTCCCTCCCTATAGAGCCTGCTTTTCCACACCCTTTTTTCACCTGCATTCTGAGATCTCCCTGGTCTTTCCTTTTGGTCACTCGGCTCAAGAACTAAGAAGGGATTGCAGAGAACTGATGTAAAGGGGGCTTGCTGCTACAGATAACATTTCCTGCCTTAAGGTGCCTCTTGAGCCTGGACACAACTCACGCTGGTGCTGTGCTCATGCTGCTGATGTTAACAGTCCACCATCATGTTTCCTAGGAGTCAGGAGCCTTCCTGAACCTGCTAAAGAACAAAACCAGATCACAAAGCCCTCAAAGCCACAGTGATCATGAAGCAACCGAGCCCTCGTTCCCACCAGTTCGGGAAGGTTAATTCAAGAGTTATCTGCTTCTTAGATCCCCATGACCTGTTCCACTCAAGCTAAAAATTCCATAGGTACTTTTAGAGATTGTAGTTCCAGAATCCTATTAGCTCTCAACATTAGGACTAAACATCAAAACATTATTCAACCCTAGCCTAATGTCCATGCTTTAGCTGGAATGCTACCAAAGAACCGCCAGAGGCTGGGTGCAGTAAAAAACGATAAGGCTCCATGAATGACTCTCACGAAAAGGTAAGCCTTTCTTCAAAATGAGGTGTCTCTGCGGTTTGAAAAGTCAGATTCAAAAGTCTTTTGTTCCTTCATAAAGATTAAACTAAGGAAAGCAAATCAAAATCGAACATTTCAGAACTCAGGGATTTATATAGTTCACTTGTACCAAAATGTTTTTAAAAAATCTTGTACTCCATAATGCAGTACCTTCAGTATCTTCCATGTAATTGTTCAGCTGTTATTATTTCTGCAAAGTAATTTTGTTTCAGGTAATCTTCAATGTATTTGGGTATCACGGAAAAAAGACACCTGTGCCTGGCAGGTCGCTACACTACTAATTTGCCCAGGGTACCAAGGAAACAGAAGATGCTCTGATTTCTGGATACAATTCTCTGCAGTGCCAGGTAAAAGAGGTCACATGCCCTGAACAGCCGCGGATCATTCACTAATGTAAATGCTCCTCAATTAATTTTACTAGAAATTTGGAGAAGCAAGCAACCTAAGATCAATTCATTTAGACGCCGGGCGTCTGGTACTTTCCAGTATCCTTTTTTTCAACGGACTCCCGTGCATCCTATTTCCATCCCTTGGAAAGGGGTCGGCCAGCTGGGCACCAGCAGCCCGTCCATTCCACGGAGGTATACACAGGATGGGGAGTCCCCAGGCACAGACCCATCCCGATTCTCCTATTCGCCTGGGATCGGCAAGACCCTTCCCAGGAAATTCTGGGCAGCGTGTTAAGTCACAGCCTGACCAGGCTGAGTTTCCTCCCGCGACCGCCTCGGGACTGCGGGAACCGCGCCTCGTCACGCCCTGCAGCTCCCACCTCCCGCCGCCCCCGGCTCCCCGGCGGCTGCCGGCGTCCAACGCCGGCGATCACCGGGCTGCCGTCCCCGAGCAGCGCTCGCGGCCAGCGACACGCGCCGCAGAGGCGCGCTTAGCTGCACCGCAGCGGCACAGCCCGCCCGCCCGATCACTCACGCGGGAGGCAACGGCGGCGTCTCCATTGTGGCTCCTCTCGGGCTTCAGAACGCAGGCACCGACCGCCGCCGCCAGCACCATTCCAGCCGCGGACGCCGGCACTGCCCACCCGCCGAGCCGCGTTCCATCCGCCTCACTGAGCGCCACCACCTGCGGCGGCGGCCCCCGCGGCCATGGCCCGCTCGGCCGGGCGCGCTCCGTCTGATTGCGCGGCTACCGCGCTCGCCCGAGTGCGGGGCGGCGGCGACAGCGAGACGGGCGGGCGCGCGGGCTCGGCCACTTCCGGGTTCGGCCCCGCCGGCGCCGACGCCGTGACGGGACGGCGAGGCGGCCTCCCGCGGCGGCCCGGGACCCCTCCCTCGGCGCCTCCCCTTCCTCCTGCTGCTGCTGGAGCTGCTGCGGCGGCTGCGGCGGCGGCGGCGGCTGCTGCTGCGGCGGCTGCTGCTCTTGGAATCGGGCGGGGGTGCCGAGGCACGGGCCCGCGGGGCGGGACTGGGGCCACGGCTCCTGCAGTGGGGTCTGTGGGTCGCCCGGGCGGGAGCGCTAGGAAACTGAACAGGGGTGTTGTCTGTGCAGGAAAAGGGCGCCCGAAAGCACAGCGTAATAGCGCTCGCTATTCACTTGCTGCTCTGCTTCACAGGTTGTTCACATTATTTTGATTTGAGCCTATGCCCAGGAAGGTGGGAAAGATAAGCATGACCAACCAATTCTTCTACAAATGGGGACATCGAGGCAAGAAGAAATGAATTTGCCTATCTAGTGTCCCAAGCAAGAAGCTGGGCCTCCTTCCCGAGTACATGACCCGTTCGAGTGAAGTGAGCACGTACTCGGCAAGGTTTTGGTGCCAGGGATACGAGAGAGAGCAAAACCAGTTCTGCGCGCGTGTGGAGCTGTCCACCTAGACCGATTAGGGAGTCAGGGAACAATGCCTACCATGAAGAAAATTGCTCAGGGTGAAAGGATGGGATGCTATCTAAAATAGCATGGAGTGGTCAGGGAAGACCTCTCAAAAGATAACATCAGAGATGGCATAAAATGAATCTCGAGTAATGCAAAGAGATTCAGGACACAGGGAAGAGCAGTGCAGAGACTCCTACGCAAAAATCTTGTCTTGAGGAACGCGAGGACCAATGTAGCAGGTGGTTCTCCAAGTATGCCCGCTGGACAGCAATAGCATGTGGGAACTTGTTAGAAATGCGAGTTCTCCAAGCCCACTTTAGAACTACTGAATCAGAAACACTGGGGTCTGTTACAGTCCGGATTATGCTGATCACCATTTATGAGTATTTATGTGTATGTTTCAAAAGGTTCATAATAATTTTTTTAAAGATGACTGGTTGCTATATGAGCAATATATGTAGTGAAGCAAGATAACAAACAAGGAGATTAGCCTAGTGGGATGAAAAACACAGAAGGCCTGGAATAAAGTCAGAGTGATGGAGAGAAGCAGTCAGATTCTGACTCTATTTAAAAGATAAAGCACACAGGAATTGCTGATAGATTAGATGTGAGTATAAAAGAAAGAGCAAGGTCAAAGATGAGCCCAAGGGTTTTGGTCTGGACTCTTGGGAGAGTGGAGTTGACATTTACTGAGACTGGGAAAATAGAGAAGAAACAGATTTGGTAGGGGAGAGGAGTATGTGTAAACTCTCATTGAGACATGGCAAGTTTGAGGTGCCTGTTGAACATCCATGTGAAGGTAGGTGTAGACAGATGTATGTATTTGGGGTGGACTGAAATGTGTAGATTGTCAGCATATAGATGGTTTTTAAAGCCATGGAACTGGTTGAGATAACTGGATAATGCAACTGGAGAAAAGAAAGGGACCAAGAAGTGAGCACTAGGGCACTCCGACATTAAGGTGGTAAGATGGTGGGGGTTCAGCAAAGGAGACAGGAGCAGCCAGAGGAGGATCTGAAGTGTCTTGGTAGCCTAGGCTTGGATTTAATCAGCCATCTCATCCAAGAATCTTGAAGCAATTTCAAAATGTTAATTAATCTATACTGAGTTTTTGTTGTTTTCTGAGAAGACAGTGACAAAACCCCTGGCTTTCAGACATAAGCAGGCCTGCCTAAGATTTGTAACAATTTATAAGGCCAAGGTTTCCATTTTCATCTTTGTGTGGGCCAAGTAACTTCACAAAATTGGTACTCGGCCAGATGCAGCCTCAGCACTTACCTCTGGTCTCAGCACCCACAACAACAATGATTGTGAGGATGAACAGAAATCCACCTGTGGGGGAAAATCTTTCAATATGTCTACCTCTGTATGTCAGTTTCACCATTTTCTCAAGTAAAGAACATGAAAGATTAGGAATTGATACCCAAGACCACCAAAAACTTATTTTTATTTCCCCTGGCATACGAACTCATTGGACGTGTACAGGTGTTTGACATCTCCTGCTAAGATTATTAGCTCCATCGACTCACTGGTGATTCTTTAGATGAGCCCTTCACTCCCCAACACAGAATAAGATCTTAGAAAAGCCCATCTTTTTCTATACTGTAAAATAGAAGAATTCCTTAGCCAAGTTAGTAACCATAGCTTAAAGCTAATGTAAGTAACCAAAATATCACTTGTAAAAAGGGGGGATAAATGGTGATGAACGAAGATTTGACTTGGGGTCGTGAATACACAATGTAATACATAGAGAATATGTTATACAAATGTACACTTGAAGCATATAATTTTAATAACCAATGTCACCCCAATAAATTCATTTTTTAAAAAAGGATCAAACCACACAGAGGAACAAGTCCATGACAGTAGCTGGCGGCAAAAATTACTCAGATTGCGTCGAAATCAGATGTTGCAACAGAACCGCATGGCATGACATGGCAGGCACAGACACACACATGGCAAGAATCTGGGAACTGAGACTTGCTCATGTGAAGAAAGGACTTAATTTTACCAAAGACTGTAAAAGATCATGTTTTTGTAATCCCTTCCAGTGTAAAGATAGCAAGTATGAAAAGCATCACTCATTCAAAAATAGGGTATTTGAGAAGGTGGAGGCCTTCCAAAATGTCTTCTATCCTAAAGAGTTAGCCTAAAATGGATTACTTGAGTTGTTTTTCTGATTTTAAATTAAGGTTTTTGCTTTTATTCTTTTGATTTGGAAGCAGCTTAGTGTGCATAATATGAAGCATTTCAAAATATCCTTGTGAGACTGTGCTACCCAGCAAACGGATGTGTCAATATACTAAGGTATTTATTACAAGTTTTGAGGTGTTAAAGGTGATGGGAGTCTTCTGCTCCAGACAAATAGAAAATCTTTAATTGAAGGAGCCCTTCATTTCTTTGAGTTCAGTTTACTCTACAAATGCTTGTTTCCTTGTTTTCATTATCTTGACGATACCCACCTTAGCTGGCGTTGTCTCTCCACACCATGCTCCCCTCCTTTCTTGGAGAGTGAATAAAAACTTTACTTTCAAAAAAAAAGATACCCACCTTACTTCCAGCCCAGCACACCTGCTCATTATCCTGTATCAGAAATTCCTGGAGAAGTGAAAGCAAGTTGTTTGCTGTGAACATGTATTGGAAGTATTAGTACAGGAAGTATTCAAAAATAGACCTCACACTAATGCATATCAGGTAGGCAGTTTCTCTGTGTTTTTTTTTTAAAAGGAAATTTACTTAATCTATTTTTACTTGTATACAGTTATATGATATCTATTTATGTAGTCTGGTGATGTAATACCTCATTATGGAATTATCTAGGACTAAATGTCTTTCTACACAGTCAGCAATGCTAGGGGCAAGAATAAAAGCAACTAAAAATTCTTGATAAATTATGGAAGCATTATTAGCTTGTTGTCATGCATCTCAAGCTACACACACACACACACACAACACACACACACACACACACACACACACTTCAACACACAGCTTGGATTTGTCCATCACAGTTGTTAACAGCATGGACTGTAAGCGAAACTGTGAAATGTTTGCTTTTTGGCATTGTCACTTTCCCCAGTCTTCGGTTTTTTTCTTTTTGGCATCAATTTATCACCTTTAACCCTCACAATCTGAAGGTCTTCGGTGTCCTCCATTTATCTTTTCAATCAGACTTAGAAATTATCTACTGTCAGTTAACAGAATGATTAGTGGATTGCACTTTAATATAATGGCTTTAATATAATGGAGTAACTTCCCTCAGTATTATTTTAGCCAAATAGAATCTTTATATCCTATCCCCTGTTATCTTCCCTCCTAGAATCTATTCCAGTGATTTGTATGTTATTTTTAATTACAACATTTTTATGACAAATTGTGATGTTAAAATGTGTCATTTTCATTAATAAAAGTATTACTGTACTATTAACGAAAAAGTGATTTACTATAATAAAGGACAATGCTGAGAGAGGGGATGAAAAATATTCTTCTTAAACTCTAGACCTTTTGAGACCAAACCTCTGGGAGTTTGTGTTATTTGTTCAAATTATACCCATGGTAATATGAAAAGATAAATCCACATAAATCCTAAAATTTGAGCTCAGCCCAAGCCTTGGAATTATTTTTGCAAGTAAGGATCCTTTGCCAAGAAATCCTTTCTGGTTCTTAATCTGGTTTTAGTCAGCTTCTGGATGCAGAGAAGCATGTTTAATGCAGGTATAAATGGTTAGTCAATTCCTCAGGCATCCATATTTCTTCATTTTCCTTGTTAAGATCTTGGTAATAATCCAACCCAAGAAATAGAATTGAAACCAGGCTGCATATGTATGAGAAGTATTCTTCATTGAACTAAAATTGAACCTAAGCTGCCATTTTTGAAGTTTTTGTTAAAAGCCAACTAAAATTAAGTCATGAGAAAAATATTCCTAGTCACATTTTCTGAGGCAAACTGATTCAAGCCAATCTTAATTGCATTATACGTAAATATTACATCAACTTTTTTCTACGCCAGATATGGAAAATAAAAATTGCCCTATTTTAAGTTGCAACAACCCCCTGTACCATCAGCTCTCCCTAAACTACTTTTCTGGTTTATTTTTCCTCAAAGCACTTACCACAACTTGAAAAACTATGTATTTTACTTATGTATTTCATTTATTGTCTGTCTTCTCCCTTGGAATGTAAGCTCCATGAAGGCATGGGGTTGAGTCTGTTTGGTCACTGCCATATACCCAGGGCTTAGAAAATTACTCACACATAATATGCATGTAACAAATACTATCGAATGAAGCAGCTGGCACAATTCATTGTATAGACCAACCAAAACATTTACCTCCAGGAACAT